AAGAATATTCTCTCAGTAGAGGTAGTGTTGTTGTGGAGTCGTTAACATCACGCCAAAACTTCCTTATTTACCTCATTACTACTGGATAAGCGAGATTTAAGTGTGAAAGTCGATCGCTGGAATCGAAATTGGATCATATGGATGACTGGCAGGCAGTCTAATACGGAACTACTAATTAATTATCTGATCAACTAATGAATCATTTCTTTCAAATCTGTCCAAAGTTTTTTTTCAGTAAACAGTGAATATAAATAATCTTTAAAGTGAAACTGTTAAAATTTTGTTCAATAAGTTACTTTTTATTTCATCAAACTAATCATCCTCCATTGAGGCATAAAACCATAATTTCAGTGAGAAAAATTCATTTCGCAATGGTTTAATTTTCATAGATGTAAAACAAGGAATTTTGTACGTTTATTCCCCTTAATGAATTGGAATAAAGCAAGAACAACAGTGGTTTGTGCAGAATAAAAAGGGACCATTGTTGTTTATTTCGTCGGCTTCTCATCAGCTGCTTACAGGCCAAAGTCATTATTAAGTATATTTACAGAAAAAATTTTAACATACTTGCACAGAGTTCATTTTTAAACAAAAACCAATCAATCAATATATGCAAACAAGAATATATATTCAGAACAAAATATTTAGAGCGAACAATTGTTTTCAATAAATTCTTCTTCAGGCTCTACATTTATAAATCCATTAATTTAAGCATACAATAGCCATAAAGGCAGATTAGAATCATATCAGAAGGTGTATTGTGGAACAAATATAAGATGGGATGGAACAATAGTCATACAGTTTTTTAATATGCATGGTCAATGAGAACATGGGACAAAATCAGATGAAGTAATTTAATTTAATGATGTGTATATATATATATATATAGATATAGTCAACAGAAATACAGGTTTCGAGAGTGTGTGTAATCAGGGTGTGTGAGACAATATGAAAATAGACCAACGAATGGGGCGGACTAGACATAAGTTCAAGGTTGAAAATAACGACAATAAGAATGATTGTAAAATAATAACGATGATATGGTGTAAAATTACATGCACTATTGGTGAATGATTGTCAAATAATAATAATGAATATAATGAAGTGGAATGAATAGGATTCTTTTTGTAAATACGATAGCAAGGTAATAAAAAAAACTGTATGACTATTGTTCCATCCCATCTTATATTTGTTCCACAATACACCTTCTGATATGATTCTAATCTGCCTTTATGGCTATTGTATGCTTAAATTAATGGATTTATAAATGTAGAGCCTGAAGAAGAATTTATTGAAAACAATTGTTCGCTCTAAATATTTTGTTCTGAATTAAGAATATATATATATATATGTATATAATAAACACTTTATCCCGGACAATATATTATTATTTTATGCATATATTCACTGATTGATTATTGTCTAAAAATGAACTCTGTACAAGTATGTTAAAATTTTTTCTGTAAATATACTTAATAATGACTTTGGCCTGTAAGCAGCTGATGAGAAGCCGACGAAATAAACAACTATGTTACCATTTTATTCTGTACAAACCACTGTTGTTGCTTTATTTAGAGTACTTTTGTTGTATGTGTGCGTTAAAATTTGACAGTGAGTGGAAATGCCAAAGTGTACACATACTAGTAGTATAGATGATTTTTTTTCCTTTCACGTTCAAGCTAGTGGCTTGAAGTTTCTGTAGCAGTGTTTATTTTACAGGATGGGGTTGCTAGCCTCATGCCCAACCTTTCCTCTTTACCAGCATTATTTCTGACTTAGCGAGGTAAAGGAGTGCGTCAGATAGGGATCGAACCCCGGACCATGTGCATGGTGGACGATCGTCCTAACCGCCATCGACGCACGGGTATAGATGATTATAAATCACCAATTGGTTTGAAATATGAATGAGTGATTGTGTAAAGAAAGATCAACACGTAGATCAATAGACATAACAAGAAGATTAAATCAATATTCGGAAATGTGAATATATATCTGTAAATTTGTCATATTTAAAGGCAATAAAATGAGTGAACTGTTGTCAATAAAATTAATAAATAGTGAAATAAGACAAAATGACATAGGATGAAGTTTTATGAGTCATACGAAAGAGGTCATACACATTGTTCTGGTTTCATGTTATGTATTGACAAAGTTTACACTATATATACTTATCTTTTTCTGCAAACTTTGTCAGACGTCGTAGACAATATAAGTATAAAAATTGGGTACTGTGGTAGAGTGTAACTCCATTATGGATAAGATTTTATTTTGATATATCACACAGTGCTACACAGTAATATTAACTGATGACCACGTTTCGAGCACAAACTATTGCTCATAATCATATCAAGTTACTCACACAACTTTTTTTCACTTATATACATGTTTGGAATTGACTAGATATCTTAGGCCCTGCATAGGATTCTTAATAAAGCAGGAATTGCGGTGGTATTCAAACCTACAAACTCAGTCAGAGACAAACTCTATAGCCTAAAGGACCCGCTAGACCCAATTAAACAAAGTAATGTAATTTACAAAATACCTTGCAATGACTGTTAGTGAGGTCAACTATATAGGTCACACTAGTAGATCGGGGGTAATCAGATTGTCGGAACATAAGAATTTAGCTAAGATAAGAACGGTTAACCCCGAGAAGATGAGTAATTTAGAAAAAAGCTCAGCGATTGCACTACATGCATTAACACAAAACCATATAATAGGGTGGAAGAGGGTTAAGATTCCAAGAAGAAATCTATTTAGGTGGAGAGAGAGATTGATTACTGAATCCTGGTTCATTGAGTCTACACCCAACACATGCAACAGAAATGACTCAATGCAAATACCAGAGATATTGAAGATATTATTAGCACCAGTCAAATCAGAGGAGGATAATAAATAATTTTATAAAATTCTATTTCACTTCACGTACATTATAACATTCTAACAAGTTACTTATTTTGACTATAAAAACACTCGTCTTAATTCCCATCTGATTGTAATTGATCAATAATGCTCATATTATTATTTCTGAATGTACATTATCCTGTATTGATTTTTATTCAGATGTCTAATCATCAATTCCACACATGTATATAAATGAAGGAAAAAGTTGTGTGAGTAACATTTGATATGATTATGAGTAATAGTTTGTGCTCGAAACGTGGTCATCAGTTAATATTACTGTATAAGACACTGTGTGTGATTTATCAAAATAAAATCTTATACATAATGGACTCGTAGACGATGTTTAAAGATACACTAGCAGCTGTTGTGTGATCAGTATCTACTCCATAATATAATGAAGAGGAATTAATTGGTCTGCACTTTCCTTTTTTGAGTTAAGTTAAGCTGGGTAGTGCTTTCGAAAGCTCCGAGATATGTTTCTTAATCAACCTGTTATGTACCTAGTTCCAAAAAAGCAGGCGAATATATAAATGCACATTGAGTTGAACAGTCACGGTAACATTTCTTAAATAATAAGATTCACCAATGAACGGTCAGTGTAAGTAGTAATAAAGGTCATTCGTATAAAGCTTTCAGAATTGATCTTCGTTGTGAAAATAATGTCTGAATGTCATTCACAAGATCTAAATTGACTATGATCGATTGATAATTATGATAATTGATATGATTGTATTCGAAACGTCATCTAATAAATAGTATTGTTTCACTGTGTGAGATACGTTTGATTTTTATGGGTCCAACTAAAAAAATGAAGTTATTTTTTCGAATTATTACTCAAGAATGTTTTCTTTTGTAGTAGATTGAAAGGATTGTTTTATTTTAGCCAGTATTTAGCTAATTATTGCTTCTGTTTATTGATTATGTTGGACCGTGATCCTCAGCCTCAGTTGACATATCGCCTCCCGGTACGGAAGACCTTTGATGATATCCGAAGACTAATATTATGTTATTTTGGTTGATGGTAACTAGCAGTGGAATCCGGGATGCTCATTGCAACCTATTTGAGATTCCTTAGCTGAATGTTCCTTCATCCCCAGTGAATGATGTTGTTCCAACTGAGACCCAAAGCCTGCTTTAGCATTTGTTACGATGGTTGCAGATTCCGAGTCTCCCTGGGAACATCACCACGTCCCACAGATGCAGGTATGTCCAGATGACGAATCCTGAACAGGACGAAATGCGACCTGATAAAATAATCAGGTTTACTCACTAGTCATAAAAGAATACTACAGAAATTAGAATTAATAGAGTAATTGGATTTCAACTCATCCTCTGAATGGTCAATGGATTGGTCTTGGTTGCGCCCTGTTGAAGAGTCCCAAGCTAGTGCGAAATAGTTGTCCACTGCTCCCTGGTTTTCAGTGACTTCCATTACTCTCAGGTCTTTCTGGAGATCAACAGCACTCAGCATGAAAAATAAGATCCGAATTTTCAACTCCAATGTGAAGTCAGTAATACAATACGGATCAGACACTTGGCGCATCACGAACGGCACTTCAAACAAACTATAGACCTTCATCAACAATTATCTTTGCTCAATACTCAAGATCAGGTGGCCAGAAAAGATCAGTAATAGTGAGGGATCTCTGGGAGCGAACCAACCAGGAACCAATTGTCCAACAAATATACAGGAAGAAATGGAGATGGATTGGTCATACTCTGAGAAAACCATCAAGTGACATTACACACCAGGCCATCGCTCAAGTGGAACCCGAATGGTAAATGGCGAGTTGGTTGTTAGTGCGAGGGTGACTTGGAGGAGGTCATTTGAAGAGCAGATGAAAGCAAGTGGGCAGACATGGAGCCAGGCGATGAAAACTTTAACAGGGAACGGAATGCAATGGAGATGTGTAGCTGAAGCCCTATGTTCCTCTAGGAACTAACTATAGGAGACAATAATAATAAGTAGTAATATATATGTTTGTAAAAACTCGAATCTGAATATCTTATTGTGTTCATCATTCTACTAGTTATATATATTGAATAAGAAAACTTAATTCCATTCCTTATGTGTGTTTTTTTCAATACCATTACAGAATGATGTATGCTCACCAGGTGGAACTACAATTCAAGGTGTTTATGCTTTAGAAAAAGGCGGTCTAAGAGCTACTCTAATGGATGCTGTACAAAAAGTTTGTGCACATGGAGAAGCATTAAGTAAAAAATCATGATATCTCTGTACTGCCTTGTTTTGTTTCGTTTCTCATAATGCATGTCTTCTTATGATATGATATTACATAATGAATTACATAAATGACTGACTGACTGATTGATTGATTGAATGATCGATTGATCGACTGAAACGCTTTTCTTTTGTCCTATATTATGTATGTATATGTGTGTATCACTTCGATATGTGCTTTCCATTTGATACGCAAAAGTGATTTTCCTTTTTTCTTTTCCTTTTTTTGCATCTACTTATTTATTTGCATAACTTTTGACAAAAATATTTGTACCTTTGCTAATGCGAATCTATGTATTTTTAAGTGGAAAAAAAACGAAACTGTGGGCTTAGTCGTGTTATTCCATTTTCTTTTCTTCCCATGGGATATTTTCACGCCCTTGAATTTTTGGTGTACTTAAGTAGAAGTCAATCATGTATGTGTGTGTGAGTGTGTGTATTTCACCTTAGCTATATTCATTGGAAAATATTCAACTTTCTGTCCGATAAGTGGTGAAGTAGTGTGAAATGTTAGCGATGGGTAATGAAAGCAAATGGGTTACAAAAGTCAGTCAATTTATGTCAGAGCCTCAGAATGGTCGGGGGTGGGTGCCTTGCGCTGCGGGTTGGCCACCCCTCCGCACACCTCTTGAAATGCTCCCGTATGACCGGGCGTCTTACATAGCCTCTCCTGAGGAAGTCCTACTCACTGCCTTCAAGTGGCGGAGGTGTTTTTCACCAAAGTGAGAGGGCGAAAGCGGATGTCCGGCGCTCTTCACCGGGTTGACTGTCTATTAGATGACAGTCTAGAGGAGATGGCTAAACCCTGATTCCAAACCTCCAACGACTGGCGTATGAAGCTCACTGGAGCTCACCGGCAGACGTATGGACAAAGGGCTTGTTGGATGTCCTGGATGTCTGACCCCATTCAAAAAGGCGTATGAACCGAACTCCGGTCACGGGCTGCCAATGGATAATGGACTCCCTACTCCACTCCTACTGCCTTGTAGGTCACACTTGGTTGTGTAAAGGCTAGAGCTGCACTCTCAAACAAAAGGCCGAGCGATTCTGGGAACATCACTTGTGCCAAATTCCCATGAAACTTCATGAACTCTCTTCATCAGATCGCCGCGCCTGGGCAGCGATGATTGGAGATGTTCATGAAGCCGGCTCATCCTTCCGTAGGAGATAGCCGAAGTAGAGTAGAGAGAGTATATGTTCGAGTCTCACGTCCGACTTCCCTTGTGTGTGTGTGTTCACCATGCTGCACAGTTCGCTTTGTCATAAACGCCCCGGAAAAGAGGGAAAGATGGGCGTAGGGTTAGCAACTCTACCCTCTAGAAACAACACCACGGCTACTGTGAACATCAAGGCCTGAAGCTATTTGTCATATTCGGAACTGAAACCTGTTGAATAAAGGTTGTTTATCAAGCTGTTTCACTATGCAAAATGAATTACCTGTGAGTAATTTATTCGTCACTGGATATAAATGATGATCAGTCATTTTGACAAAAGACTGCTGTTTCTCTCGTTTTGGGACCGTCATGATCAGTGGTGTGCCTGGGTGTTGATTAAGCATAGAGAGACAGTTCAGACCACTAGAATTCTGGCTATTATTTAAATTCAAAACATAAAACTAGCATTTTAGGCATTTTTGAAATAATGAATGTTGTTGAAGTGATTGTGTTCTCTAAGCTGAGTAAATTTCAGTGTAAAGCCTTCAGTTGTTCTTCAGGACGACATCTCTAGAAGTTCTTTATCGGTGTAAAGTGACTTATATTTGAAATTATTCATGAGGTGAGCCCGATAAAGTTGCTCGCGGTTTTGGAGTCCATCATGTTTGATATGAGGACAAATACTCACCGATGACATTGGTTGGCAGTTGCGCTGTATGTATCACACATTGGCAGAAGTTAAAATTCATGAACCACTGAAATCCGAAAGTGGTTGATTGGCCCACCTCGTCACTTCAAAATCATTGGCTTGATCGTCGGTGCAGTGGTGGCGGTGTGATGCTGGAAAATAACAAACCAGGACGAAACAGTACTGTCCAGTAATCCTTGATTTTTAGTAGTTCTCGAACTGATCAAACTTGAAATCAGCCAAATCTCTCCTATTCTAATTACTATGAAATTACATTTTACTGAAGATGCCAACTTTAATTTAGTTTTAATTTTAATTAGTATATCACACGTTCACATTTATTTTATCAGAAGAATGTTTCTTTTTGATTGAACACTAGTTGGTAACTAGTGTAATGTGTCTAGTCCTTTGTTTACTATAGACCTTATTCTAATAGTCAAGTTTGCAATGTGGCCAGCATTCTAAGTGGCTCACCATCACGGTGTACTTTGAATTGTTGATATCTGACTGCAGGCGGTACTGGGTGATGCGGATTTGAATCTCAGAAGCGACGTGAGTTGATTCAAGGTTGCAGATACGCCTTGCTGACTGGTGATTGCCAACTAGCACGAAACCTAAGCCCAAGGCTTCCTGCCGATTGCCTCCAACCATCTAAGATAAACTCCTTTCATGATAATAGATTCGTACTGCTAAACATTTGAAAAGCTATGTTGAAATGGTTGACCAGCAATTCTAGGTTTTGAACAGAGCAGGAACTACAGCTTTTGCAGAATAAAGTGATACCATCTTTTATTTCGTTGCCTCCTCGTCAGCTGCTTGCAGACCAAAGACATTATTAAATGTATCTACAAAAACACTTTTAACATACTTGCACAGAGTTCATTTTAAACAAAAATCAATCAATCAGTATATGCATACAGTAATTGTATATATATATAATATTAAACACTATTCCGAACAATAATTATCATACACAATGGAAACTTCTCGGCATTACGCATTCACATGAAAGAGAGATGAAAATATCCAGTTACCAAGGCAGAAAGACTGATAACTGTTTCTTTCCGAACGCACAAATCAGGTTTCATGCGCTTGATGGAAATGGCTTCAGCAAACAACTTTTCGAAGTCTACCTCATGACCCGTGTCAAGGAGATGCCTGGCGATGGCACTGTTTAAAGCATTTGTTCCCTTTAGACATAAGCTTTTTGGTATATGTTCAGAAAATCGTAGTTATGCCCTTTTTTATGTTCTTCCAATGTAACTGCTCCTGCAGATATATGTAAATTTGTATATACAGTTGGAGTTAACATGAGAAGGATATCTATCGATTTTTGATTGCATCAAAGAGCAAGTTGTTCGATAGACGGGAATGAGCTTAGCTGCAGGATAGGCTCTGGCTAGTAACGTACTCAGTCTTCTGTTGACCATTGTTGCAATGTTTTCACCTTTATAATCATGTTGAATGTAGATTGGCCTTTTCTCCACTATGATTTGTTTGACATTTGAGACTTCAGATCTTCCATACTTGTTAATGAACCTTTGAGGGTGCCCATTGCTCTTCAACATCTTTTCAAGAAACGCAAATTCTTCCTCTAATTTTTCTATAAAGCATAATCTCCTAGCTCCATAATATAGAGTCTTGACAAGATCACGTTTAAAGCTATTTGGATAAAAACTATTAAAATGTACGTATTGTCCTTTCCAAGTAGGCTTTCGATAAATTGACTTCTGAAGCCTACCGTATTCTAGGCGGTGCATGGCAATATCAAGGAAGTGCAACTTTCCGTCCCTTTCATGTTCAAATTCATTAAGGGGAATAAATGTATGAAATTCTTGGTTTTACGGAATTGTGCATTCCTGGTATAAATTTATTTTTAAATCACTAGTATCCCAATCAGTCTAATTTCTAAAGATCAGAAACCTAAACATATATATAAATACTTAAATTAAAAAAAACACGGTATTCGTCCCAATGGCAACTAGTCGAATTCTATGATTTATAACACTTCATAAAAGCAAATAAGAGAATCTCTTATTCAGAACAGTATTTAAGCTCTACCCATCCATCGTCTACTAGTGAAGGAAAGTAATTTATAAACTTACCTATTTACATAACATAATCAATTAAAGGAAATATCGATTTTTTAAGAGGGAAGAAAACGGAAAAGCATTTCCTTGAATTCGATCACATTATGTCTGTATCCGTTTGTTTTTTGTTCAATCAATACATGTCTGATCCAACAAAAGTAAGCAAAGATTATTTATTGGTGTGTTTTGTTTTTCTTTTATATCAAAACTCTCTGTCTCTCGTTTTTGAGTAGCTGATGAAAAATGAGTCCAAATCTGTCTGGGTGAATTGCTCTTCTTATATTACTTTTATTATTCTCTTGGGTTCTGAGTGGAACAGTACATCTCCATTTCATCCTCTTCTCTGCATCTCTGTTCTCTTTAGCTGGGTCCACGATTGCCTACAAGCTATTATCTCCTCCTCACACCATCTCTTCAATACCAACCAAGGATCCAGGACCATCTCGTCGATCCCCATTCGTGTTCCACTCAAGGGCTTCGTGCGCTGTCATTTGACGGCGTGCGCCCAATCCATCTCCATTTTCTTCGTACATATTTGTTGAGCAATAGGTTCTTAGTTGTTTCGTTCCTAGAGCTTTTTGTTTCTAATTCTTTCCAGCCATGTGAGCTTCACTATGGAGCGAAGGGTGCAGCTGTTGATGAAAGTCTGTAGTGGTCTGTTGGAAATGCTTTCGGTGACGCGCTGTGCAAGTTTCTGACCTATGTAGAACTGACTTAACATTGGTGTTGAAAATCTGAATCTTTATGCTGAGTGCAGTAGATGACCCCTAAACTGATTTCAGAATGATGACGGCTATGCGACCGAAACCGACTAGGGCAAAGTTGAACTTTAAGCACCACTAACCACCAATCAGTGAATGACATTGAACGCACCAATCACGTCAAGGAGGCATTTTTGTGTATGGAGTACATATATTTATGAAAAAATTGCATAAAAACTGTATAAAAGTGTTACAGAGGATACCTTCCTCTCACATGGGATCAAAATAGCTCTCCGTTTCAGGTTGGAGTATCAACAGAGTATCATTCCATTGTGAGTAAAATTTTATCTTGATAAAGTCTCATAGTGTTATACAGTAATATTTCCCGAGTAATAGATTGTGCTCGAAACGTAATCAGTAAATATTACTGCATAAAAACCTGAAACTTTATCAAAATAAATTTTACTCACAAAGGAATTATACTCTACCACAGTGCACAAGTTCTATTCTTATATCAACAGAGAAATTTAACCACATGGTCTGTATTTTCAGTACAAGTATGGAATTTTCAGCATGGATATCGGTAGCCCAAATTTCACAGGCCGACCATTGATATCAGGTGTGCGTCGGCAGGAGATCGAACGCCAGACCATATGCATGGTCGGCGAGAATCCTAACCGCTGTGCCACCGACTGTGA